AGGTATTTCAAGCTTATAGGAACGGCCCTCGCTCTCCCAATTAACCTTTGCCATAAACACCAATTTAACCCTTATCCAAGGAGAGGCAATCCATCGGCTCTCCAAACAGATTTGGACACATCCTCTTTCTGAAGGTCACTGCACTCAGACCGGCTCCCAGGAGCTCCATGATGTTCACATCAGCAACCACATGTCCCATTGCCAGCTTATTCTTCCCATGCAGGTCAGTATCCCCCCAGTCTGCCAGCTGGGTCTGCTGTTTCACAGCCACTTCTAAGTTAAAAATCACCAACTTGGACCAATCTCAAGTTACAACTATGTAAGCCTTCGGCCGAGTTAGACTTTCAGGATCCCATTCAAACCACATTCATTTTAACAAGCTAACAAACTCCCTTTGGGCAAGAATTTGGGTTTTTTTCAGGAGAATCCATCTAGAGCGAGCTCTCTGGTCTGGCTGTTAGAGAACGTTTTTCAGCTTTTTTACTGCAGTGCAAAGTAATGGTCCTAGAAACACGTTTCTTTTCTACAGGTGTTGTACACATTTACACTCCTCTAATTCACATCTTTGTCCTCTGATGAATTATGCAACAAACACAAATTACAAAAAATATGTACAGTTCATTAATTGCTATGACAAGAAAAAAAATCTGCCCCCACGATCACAACAGTTAAGCATATAAACGGAGGTCAGGCAACGGCTTTGTTCAAAGCATTCTTTTCTTCTAGTCAGCTTTAAAAGGCAACTAAATGGTCCAAACAAAGGATCTTTTGCATGAATACTAGAAGCAAGTCCTTGCCCACTCATGTTCATTTAAAACTCCTTTTGCAAGAAAGGAGTTTTCTTGCAAGAATGTTTGCTATAGGATCCAAGCTAAATTCCAAGCTGGATCGTTTCTCTCTGCCCGCTTTCGGCAGCACAATTTTGGTAAATACTCAGGGGCAGAACAATCGGCAAAGGACACAGCAATCCTTGTGAACAGTATGCAAAACTACTTTGGAGACATTTAGAAAAACATACACAAGTAAATATTGAAGTCAGGGTTTTTCAGCCTGTTGCAGGCAGGCACGTTAATGAAAATGCATTTTTGATCATTAATTGCAAATACTGGTCTTTAGCCAGGCCTGAAATGTTTAAGTGGAGGAACTAGCATGAGCTGCGCAGTTACACTCAGCCCACCCTTGCTTTTTCCCATCACTCCCTATAAAATCTCATCACTGGCTCTTAGATGAAGAGGGAGCGCTCAACGCAGCTGCTGTCCCTGCCTGCCAAGCCATCCACGCACTGCAGGAGAAACAGTGAAGAGTTCTGGCTGCTCCACTGCTCGTCACCTTGCCTGACTGCGAGAGTGGTGTAGTCAAGGCTGCCAGAGCACCTTGCACGCACTCCCTTCCCACTGCAGACAGAAGGTGTCCTGGCAAAACCTTCGTCAGCCTCATCTAGAGAGCGGAAGGAAGAGAAGAGCGGCACTGGAATAAGCAGGTACCCGCAGCAGACCTGCTTTGCCAGCAGACCACATGCAGTCAGTTCAGCTGCTAAACCACCCTCCGCAGACTGACCCCGGGACAGCAGGACACCCCCGGGGGGAACATCTGAACAGCTCACCCTCTTCACTCCACCAGCGAGGACCACCAGGGACCGGGGAAAAGGGAAACCTAAAAGCTCACCAACACTTTCCATTCTGCCATGCTAGATCAGAGCTGCTTCCGAGCTCCTCTAACTTGTGCTAGCTGGCAACACCACTTAAAGGACCTTGGAGCAACTGAGGAACATTCAAAATTCGAACATGCCTGTGGCATCACCCCTCTGCTTCTCACACACCAGCACTGCAGGAAGCAAGGTGGAAAACATGGGTGAGCTTTATGGGTACCTACCCAGAAACACTCCTTGAAGAAGCTCCAGGAATTTCCATTCACTGCTACAGTGACACTACTGGTATTTACTGGAAAGTAACAGGGCACGACTGGAACAGCCCAGACCTAATCTGCAGCAGCTTAGAACATCCTGGGGCATTCCCATTAATAATAACAGAACTTTTTTAAGTTGGGGAAAATATGGTCTCAATATCCAAATTTTTCCTGATCTGTGTCCAGGATGAGAGATCACACTAAGCATTTCTCAAACTTTTTGAAAGGTCACCCTCCCTTAGGGATCTTTATTTGAATAAATAAAATGAAAATAAGTCTTTATTTTTTCCCTGTTTTTCTCTCCACAAAAGCATTATATCACCCAGAGAACAGGTAACTACCTTTAATTGCTGGTACCAACTCGGCTCCTCCAGGACAAAGGAGTGAAAATCTGGTGTAATTAGCAGCTCACTTCTGAAGAAAATGAACTATTGTCAACAATTAGAACTGTCTGCTGGCTACTGTGAGCAACTCACAACAACTACCTCCAAGTCCTTCCCAACCCACGGTTTGAAAAACACTATCCCAACTCACTGCCACAGACTGCAACACTGTCACCAAGAAGCCCTAAGCAAAAAAAAGCTCCAAGAGCTTTTGGGAAGAAAACAAAAATTTAAAAAAAAAAATAAAAAATGAACACCTCTATTCAGGAAGTTTCCCTTCTGTTGTAACATCTTTGTATGGATTCTGGCGATTGACCCCTTTCTAAAAGAATGAAAATACCATGTGGCTGTGCTGAGAGGCAGCCAAGTGGAACAGAAGGGCTAGTGTTGAACCCAGTAAGGAAGAGGGAGGAATTAGGAAAGATCGACAGCCTAAAGCTATTCAACTGCAGCACAGTCACTGCTTAAGCTGGGATAAGTTTTAGAGGCCTAGAAACCAAACGCTCTCCATGGGGGCAGTATGTACCTCAGCTGGACTCCTCTAGCCTCAAACATCAACTGGTGACGAAAGAAGTGAGGGGCTACCAGTTACTCACAGCTAGAAGAAGGTTTGGCCAGGACTGTTGCCAACACAGTCTTGGCAGCAGTAGTCTTGTGTACTTTGAATTGTTCAGGTTTTCCAAATAGATGTATTGGGTTTGCTTTTCTTCTCCCCTACAAGAAGTTCTGTTTGTTTAAAACCATTGTTTAACTCTGTGCTCACAAGCAGAGAAGCGTTGCTCGTTCTTGAGCATTCAAAGAGTGTAATTGAATTTCCCAGGCTTCTGAGAGAGGGTCAAGCCAGTTTTGTCTAACAATTTTAGCAAGAACCCAATTAAATTAAAGCAAGCTCTGTTGTTGCCAATCTGTGCCTTGGAGAAGGGTTACAATTAAACAGCAAAACATAGCGTGACACTAAGAACAGCAACAGATTTACTTGAGCATCCTTAAAATACATTACCACAATATCATAACAACAAGCTTTAACACTGAGAATTTACCCAAGCAAGACAAACATTACTCCAGGGCAACATGATTTTCTGTTGTTTTTTTTTTTCCCTTTCTAAAACTGAAGGAAAACAGAATTCCTTCAGTACCATCAGGTTTTTAGTCTGGTAGTGTTAGCTGTGACCACCTTCTTTAGAAACAAAGGCAAGATTCACTAAAAAGCTATCAAAAATACCTACTGTAGCCTCTGTAAAGGAAAGCACTTATGGACAACAAACACAAACAAGGAGAGTAGTGAGAAAAACTACTGTCATTCACTTCAGACACATACATTTATACATATTTAAGGTTTGCTGACCTGAAACTAAGTTAGAGACCATCATATACCTTCTTTAAATAAACCATTAGCATTTTCTGGTGGATCACGGAGCGCACAGGACAAGCGCTTGTGCAATAGTTCCCCTTTTTCTTCCTCTGCCTAATCTCCTTCTCTCCTCTTCAACGTTAACAAACCTGGCAGCATTCACCAGAAAAATACTGCAAACAGAAAAACAGGGTGTAGTTTTTCAGGTCACATTAATTTTTTTCCCCTCTCTCCTTCATCATTTCCTGATTTCTCTCCCCCATGCTCTACTTCTCTTTTCCATTTTCCTTGACTGTTTTCTTGTCTTGGCCACCTCTTTCTCCCTCTCTTTTCTCAAATTATGTCTGTGTGGTTTTTAAAGCAGGATTCCTTTCAGCTTTATACTTTGCTATTATCTTTTGCCCACAATTTTGGGTTGTGTTTCAGGCTGGGTTTTTTTGTTTTGTTTTGCTTTTTTAAGTTCTCTGGTTTACTTTGAATCTTTTTTCCCTCCCCTTTTTAAGTTACCTGACCTGTGCCTGTTCACTTGCTCAGGTTATGTTTCTTCAAAGTCTGGTGATCCTGTGTACACAACCCTACTCAGATGAACAGTCCTCCCAGCAAACCTACTCATGAGTTTCAAGGCCCAGGAGGATTTAAACAGATACTGAGTCAGCAGACCAGTTAAACCAGGGTAGCCACTAGAATCCAAAAGGATGA